CGGCTCACCAACCCGCTACATGCGTACTCAGCAACCCCATAGGGGAACCCCCTTGTTATCGCATACGTATACACGGTGAAGACAACAATAACAACATACACGGAACCCGAAAAAGGGAAGCCACCGCCTCTTTGCGCTATGTCTCTCAGGACGACCTGTTCTCCGTGCTTGGCGAGGAGCGCCGGCCCGACTACCGCTGGCTCATCGCGGGCCCCGCCCGCTCGGGCTCCTCGTTCCACGTCGACCCCAACTGCACGAGCGCCTGGAACGCCACGGTGTCTGGCAGGAAGAAGTGGATCATGTTCCCCCCCGGAGAGACACCTCCGGGAGTTCACCCTAGCGAAGATGGGCTGGACCTGGCCGCTCCCGTGTCCATCACGGAGTGGTTCCTCAACTTCTATGAGGTATGTAACAATGTTGAAATGTCTGTTGTTTTGTTCCCTTTGTTCCCCTTGTTTTTCTTCAGGTTGTTAGTGGCCACCACGGCAGCCCACTGTTGCAGCAGCTAAAAGGTAGTCTACGGTGCATGTCCACATGCGTACGTACGTACCGCGCTTTGTTTTCTCGGCTTTGCTCTTTTGCAGGTTGGGACTGACTCCCGCGGCACCGCACGTGTTGCTTCTCAAAAGCCTGGACGATGCCTCCGCAACGATTTTTTGCTTAATTTATATTGGATGCATGTGCGCACAGCCAAAACAAGTGAGTCAACGCTGCGTGTATCTACGGCGGCACCGCTGTTGCATCTGTTCGGTCTCGGGGTTGTGCTACAATTCATCTCTCGTGTTTTCACTTGGCGTGTTTTTGTTTGTGTGTTGCCGTTTTTGTTTTTTTTTGGCACTTTTTGCGGCGTGTGTGTGCCGCCAGGAATGCCACGCGCCCGGGCGGAGAGTGCGCCCTCTGGAGTGCGTCGTGTCTGCAGGGGAGGTGGTGTTCGTGCCCATGGGGTGGTGGCACTGCGTCCTCAACCTCGAGTGGTCCGTGGCGATAACCCAGAACTTCGTCAGCAGGGTGAATCTTCCGCACGTCGTCAAGTGAGTTTGTTACTGCTGCTGCTGCTGCTGCTGTTGGTGCTGTTGGTGCTGCTGGACTGTTCCCGTGCGTGTGTTGTTACAACGGCCCCGGAGGTAGCCCCGGCCTCAACTGAAGCCCTGTCTGTTTTTGCCATCGGGTTCACAAAAACAAGGAAGGGTCGTCTCAAGAGCGAACTCCCGAAAACAACTAAATTAACGTGTCACGCCCAAGAACAACAAGTGACTACAACAGTATATTGTAGACGGAAGTAAGGAGAGTGCTCTCCTCGCATGATGCGCACTCTATCTATCTGTGGAAGAAGAGATCGATGAGAGACAGAAAATTATATACATGCATGCACGCTCGCTCTCCGTCCAATACCATCAGCGTTTGTTTACCAAGTTGAACACATCAGATCATATTCACAGTGTGCAGAGCGGAAGAGGAGCTGCATTGTAGTGCGACTTGCGCAGCAGCTGCTAACAACCCGGCCTCACGCCTAGCGCCTCCAAGACAGACGCGTCAAACGGTCCGTCAGGGCGAGGATTGATTGTCGTCCGAAGGCGTGCCGGACGAAAAGAAATTAGGTGGGTGTGGTTTTGGGGGTCGAGGCATCATCTCGCCTCTACGTCGCGGCAGTGTGAGTTGTCGGGGGGGTTCTTTTTCTTCAACAGCACAAGACAATGAACGGCAGAATAATGGCGACAGCCGTGAAAGCAACAAACAAGCCTGGCATAACATGATGCATGCTTTGTTGCACGTGTAGTGTGTGCCATGTGAGCGACGGAAGGAAGTCGAAGAGCCTCTGATCTGTACTTGCCATAGTTGGTTGTGGTGAGCATCCCTAGGTAGGTTTGTTTTCGATGCGGATATTATTGAATGATGATATGCGTGTGTGGGTACAGACAGACGAAGGGAATACGGAGTATTTCATACCAAAATATGCTGGTTTATGTGACGTCATGACGTGCGGTCCTTTTCAATGTCCATCCTCTCGCAAAGGAGGCAACCACAATTTATTTCAAGCTTAGCTGCCCTGCATGTAGTGTGTGTGCTCCATATATATTTTTTTATGTTGTGTAAGGGTGACCTATCTCAGACCGACGGAAGGCGTTGAACCTTCTCTCGACTGTGAGACCAGATGAGACTTCCGGAGCGACGGTTGTGGGAGCCGCGAGTGTACAGACTTGCGGGACAGGAGTAGTTCTCTAGGAAGAACCAACGGTGGTCTCTGGGAAGCGAGCGAAAGAAGAAGAGGAGGAGGGGTGAAACGGGGTGTGCACGGCACACCACCGCAGCCCTGATGACGCAGAACCGACCTGACGAGGCAGTAACGCAGACACAGTCTGTGTTGGCGTGCTGACGTGGTACAGCATTGACACGCTACCGGGGAATCTTCCCGGGCGTGAGATGACAAACAACCATCCGGGCGGTTGCAGTATGTATGCGGTACGCGGGCATGTGCATTCAGTGACATACCGATGCGCGCGGACTGCACGGAAAGATCCGCAGAGCAACCGGAGGAACAATCGGTACATGTCCCGTTCTCGGCTCTCGTCTGTTCGCTCCGGCATTTTTGTTCACACATCAATGTTCCGACATTTTATTGTTTTTGAGTGAAGTCAATCTCATGGGAGTTAAACGTATTGTCAGCGAACCAGAACTCCTCGCTGTCGAGTACTGGTGGAGTACGAGCTCTTAACACCACCAAAAGTGGGGGGTGATGTGAGTCTCTGGTGTAGCTCTACGTACGTCCTACTCGAGGTCCCCTGTCCAAGTGTTCCTCCGCTTGCTCTACGGATCTTTCCGTGCGGTCCACGCGCATCCGTATGTCGTATACACATGCCCGCGTACCGCATGTGCTGCAACCGCCCGGATGGTTGTTTGTACGGTTGGTACTGACGGAAATGCCTTGTGCGGAGATGACATGACCCAAATAGTCGAATTCTTTCTGACCGAATTGAATTTTTACCGGTTTGAGCGTAAGACCTGCTGCTTGCAATGCTGCGAACATTTTCTCGAGAGATGACAGATGAGCTTCGAACAGGTGATTGATACAGATCAAATCATCGATGTACGAAAGAACACCGGAGTCTGGACCTAGGTGACCTAGAGCGAGAGACATTACATGTTGGAAAAGCCAAGGTGTATTAGCTACTCCAAACGGCACGCGTTTAAAACAGTACTTGCCGGTAGGGGTGACAAACGCAGTACGGTCCACGTGCTCCTCCAACACGGAGATATGCCAGAATGCGCTGAGGATGTCGGCGACGGTGAAGTAGAGAGCTTGGCCGACGGCATCCAGGCAGGACTCGAGGTTAGGCATGGGCCAGGTTGTACGGACGATGTGGCGGTTGAGGGTGTGGCGGTAGTCTACGCAGAAACGGGGACTACCGTTTTTCTTAGCGTCGAGGGTGCATGGGCTTCCCCATGCGCTGGGCCGTTTTTCAATGATTCCCCACTCGAGCATTTCGGTGACACATTTGTTGGAGACAGTTGCGACTCGGGGATTCGGACGTTACGGCGGACGATCGACAGGACGTGTGCCAGGTGGCACAANCTTGGCCGACGGCATCCAGGCAGGACTCGAGGTTAGGCATGGGCCAGGTTGTACGGACGATGTGGCGGTTGAGGGTGTGGCGGTAGTCTACGCAGAAACGGGGACTACCGTTTTTCTTAGCGTCGAGGGTGCATGGGCTTCCCCATGCGCTGGGCCGTTTTTCAATGATTCCCCACTCGAGCATTTCGGTGACACATTTGTTGGAGACAGTTGCGACTCGGGGATTCGGACGTTACGGCGGACGATCGACAGGACGTGTGCCAGGTGGCACAAGGAACGTGGCTTCTGCAATGGTGCAGCGGCCGAGTTCGGACATTGACAGAGAATAGACAGGACGGTATTTTGCGCACAAGTCGAGGACAGCCTGTTGTTGCTCGGATGTGAGCGTGGTGTCGAAGGCTTTGGACAGAGGCTCGTCGAGTTCGGACTTTGGCGTGACGAAAACCGTCGTTGGTGACGGGTGTGTTCGCGACAGCATTGACATGAAGTTGGTCGGGTTCAGAGGCAGTCACTGTGGACAATCGACCGAGACAAAGGCCATCAAAGAGACGGACGCCATATGAGGAAGGGTTGGCGATTTGGACTAGGACAGATCCATCGGAAGCGTGCCATGTAGCTATAGAGTACGGGCAATGGCAATGTTTTTCAAAGGACTGAGTGTTTCGTCGTGGGACAAGTCTTGTTCGGAAACGATCCGAGGTTCGACAAAGACTGTACAACCTTCCGGTGGACGACAATCAGTGTAGTCGACAGCAAGCGCCTCGCGCATCGGTGGGATAACGACACGTTCACGCAAGGACACGGCGACTTGTATGGAATCGCTATGGACAGCAGCCACGGACGGTTTCGGGTCGTGGCCACGATTTCTACGTGAGGGACTGGACGAGTTGGTGCGGTGGACAGCTGGTATGTGCAAACCAGAGGACGAAAAAGGCGCTATTGTCTAACAGTATTGAATCGTGTCCTAGGGAGGGGACAACAAGAGCGGTGACCGTACGGGTGATACCGCAAAGGGTTAATGGAAAATTAATGAACCCCATGACCTCTATCAGCGAGCCGTTCGCTGCTCTAAGGGATACGGCAGCCGGAGGGACAGGTTTGAGTGGCGCATTTCGCAAGGTTGGATGGGATTGCAACCAAGGAGGCGACACGACAGAGACATCAGTAGCTGTGTCCTCTGTGATGTTACTCACGGGACAGTGTTCGACGGAGCCGTCATACGCACTCGTCGTAAAGACAGAGACAGGCAAGAAAGATTGGGTTTGTGCGCCAGCCGTGAGCTGTACCACACATCGTCTGAATTACTATTTGTTTCATCCACGGGGAACAAGTTCCCTTCCTTCACACTTGAACGTAAACACGAACGGCGAGGCCGCGATTGTCTACTGCAACGGAAGGTGGACACAGACTCGACTTCAGCAAAAGTGACACGTTCCGCGGGCCGACATCGCCACCACGGCTACAGACAGGAACACGCAGCGGAGCCGAAGAGGACACAGCGCTGTTACTTCCTCGGCATCAAGCACCGGGGGTGGGGGCACGAAATTCAGACAAAGCGGTGAGACCCCAGGGCTTTCTCTCGGTACCATGAGGACGAGCACGTACTCAAGGCACAACGCAACTACCGTTGCGGACACAGATACGGCACAACAACAGCGTGTGTACCGACAGCTACTGCCGTGGAGAGTCCTCTTGACGCCTTTCCTACCAAGTAAAGAAGACAACCCAACGAACGCACGCGCTGCGTCAGCTTGGCAACCCTACGCATCGCTATCGTCGTTACTCTTGTCTTTGTAGGGAAGGCGGTCTTCCGCTCACGACGTGTTCGCTACCGGGCGACTGTTTTCACGGCGGTTCTTGGCCGCCTGCGCTTCCTCGCGAATCCGCTGAAAACGTCTCCATAGTGTGCCTGAGGGGCTTTATGCACGACGGGTGCGAGCACCGCGGGCGCTCCCTCGGGGTGGAGCGGGGGGAATTGCCACCGCCGCGGTTGTTGCCGTTGCGTGGCGTGCTCCTGCCTGTGGTGGACGGACCACCACCCGGCGAGGGTGCCGACCTGAATCCGGGGTGCGGCCCCGGTTCTGCCGCGCGGTGTCAAACTTTGGAGACAGACGGGTGCGGGACGTGACAGGGGTGAGCGAAACAGCGCTGACAGCGGGGTTTTCACCAGGCAGGTTCGCTGACTCGGTACGGCGAGCGCGATCGACAGCATCCCGAAGGGCTTTGACAGCTTTTTTGTCTAGTACCTTGGACCGAATGTTCGGGACAAGGCCGTTTTGGATCAGAAGTACCAAGAGCACTTGATACGGCGAGCGACCCGGAGTGATTCGTTCGACAGCTTGTTCAAACCGAGTGCAGTCAGTTTGACGACGGAGTGCATCAGAGCAAACGTTCTCATTGCTCGCTTGGCGGAGGTTGACAAGACTAAGTGCACTCTGCGACTATGTTGAAGGGCATGAGACGGTGTAGGAGAGCGGTGTTGAGCTCTACCCATGTGGTGTGTGTACTATCTGCTCTGCCTTGTCCTGGATGTGGTGTGTACACAACTACTATTGTACGTATTACACTATGAATATATTTATTTGTTGTGCGTCTATCCGGTATTATTATTTTAAACGTGTGTACGGCGGCAGCGGTATGTGTCTGCATAGACTGTATATTTATTTGCCTGCATTTCTGCCCGTTTTCCCGTCAATTCCGTCGAGATAGAAGCTCAGGGTTGGTTGTGGTCCACAGTCAGCCTGGAAGGAGACCAAAATACGTCCAACTTACTATGTTGTGGGACATTTCATATACACCACCAGATGACGGACAAAACGGTGCAGCATCATGCGAGTTTCCCTGCAAGTGGTGTATTTCTATCTACTCTCGTTTTGCGTTGCATGGGATGTGTTGTGTGTACAACAGAACATTACTATTACATGATGTGCGTCCATGCGGTATTATAAAGTTGTTGACAGTGTGTAAGGCGGCAGAGATGTGTATCATGCCTGTACGTTTTCCCGTCAATTCAGTGGCTGGCTGTGTCCACAGTCAGTCTGGAAGGAGACCAAAAATCTTGCAACTTATCTGGCACAAGTTTCTGGTTGGTGCACATTCCGGAGGTGGAGTGTTTGTGTGAGATGTGCTCTGCCTTGTCAGCGCTGCCTTGTCAGCACTGCCTTGTCACACACGGTGGGTCGCGGTAGGTACACTTTACGCGTTGATTGTCGTGAAGAGCATACTGACTGCTGTATGTGGTCCACAGTCAGTCTGGAACAGAAAGCAGAAAAAATATTTGTGCTGGCCGACTACTGCTTAGTATAGTGCGGACTACTGGGGTGCACAGACAACATGCTGACTTTCGTACTGCTGTGTTCCACAGTCAGTTTGGAAGGAAATAAATGTGCGGGGAAGACACGCCCTGACAAGATATTCGATGCCACTCCTGCTGTGTGCCGACTACCCGGTGGTCCTTAGTCAGTCTGGGAGACCAACAACTAATTTGTTCAACCACACGACAGCAGTAGTTCTGCAAGCTGGTTGGTGCACATCCTGATGAGGTTGACCTCTTGCGACATGAGTGGCCTGTATACTAGGGGAAAGAGGAGACAATTTCATGTGCCTACTTTCGAGTTCATGCACATGTGTTGGAACACTCAATGCCAGTCATTAGAGTAGGTATTCACCTAAGGAGTATTACCGGAATAGTCTTGGGTATATTGATTCAGTAATGGGATCATTGTACACACCCACGGGTCTTACATTGAACCAAACAAGTATGGTACATCAGACCATTGTCCTATAGGATATTCTATTATAGCAACGTTGTCATAGGTCGGACTGACCGTCTATGACCGTGATCGGTACGTTGCAATAGCCCGTGTGTGTTTCCTTTCCGTGATTACGATGGATGACTCGCCCCCACTCGCCCGCTCTTTTCTCCTTCTCTACTATTCGGCCAAGTAAGCGCTAATTCGAACCATATCTTCTGGTCTACAACACAAGTGTACTTGACAGTCACTCTTGTGAGCCTCTGCACACTGTTACTACACAATGGCCATCGCCAGGGATACACCTATCACAAAGATTACATCCCAACAACATGTATGTTGTCGAAATTTTGACGAGAGACTTTCATTCCACTTTTGTACAGTAGATGGTGACTGGTCACAATCAGCACAGTCAGTCGGGAAGAAAGAGACAAAAGAATATGCTGACTACTGCGAGTGGTCCACAGACTACTGTACACAATCTGGAAGGAGAAAAAAGAAGTAATGCTGTACACAACATCCTGATGAAGATACTTGAGTGCTGGTGACATGTGCTCCTCCTTCGAGCGCTGCCTTGCGTTGCCACACACAGTAGTGGTTACCGGCGGAATTTTTAGGTATCTTTCAGGCATTGTTGACCGGGCTGTGGCTAAAGTTGTCAACTTTCGTATATGATTCTGAACCAACCGTGGACGTGCATCCTTCCTGTCGTGGGTGCGGCGGTACATGCGACCAGTGGGGGAGAGATCCACAATGGACGCGTTTTCACAAGCTGACACAAGCGTTAGCACCAAACTCGCAGGCGGAGCGGAACGGGCCAGGAGGGACACCTCTTCCAACCCACACGAAAAACTGTCGACGGAATCTCAAGAAACATTGACCGAAGAAAAACAACTTGGCTTTTTAGAGAAGAGACTGGAGATCGCATACTCTAAAACCAAGTGAAAATGAAGAGAGTGGGGTCAGTTGTTGGTGGGGTCGGAAAAAGTGGGGTTGTCTTCGAATACAGGTTCTGGGAATGTCGGCGACAGAAACTGAATTCCTGTCGGGCTTCAGAATTGCTGTTGTTGTGGCCGTTGTCGTGTGTTACTGTTGTTTTTCAGGTGTGTTCATCATTACCGTTGTTGTTGTTTCGTGTTTATTTAATGAACATTGACCTCGAACTTTTCTGGCCGGCCAATTGAAAAAACAACACCGCCAAGTCTCATCACCGCAATAACAAACGTGTCCTGCCCGTCCGTTTGTCTCTCCTCTCCCTCAAACCTCCTGGCCGACAAACCAGGTTCCTCCTCACCCAGAAGCACCTGATCTCGGGCCTGCCCCCCGATCAGCGGGACGATCTCGGAGAGAGATTCGTCACGGCGATGTCCGAGCAGCGCCCCGATCTCGGTGTAAGCGAGATTGCAGAGCGGGCCACCTCTAGTACGACGGCTGCCGCCTCAGGTTTCGGAGGCTGCGACGGGGGCGTGGTGGCGAACGGGGGAGGGTCGTGCCGGAACGGGGGTACCAGCAAGAAGAGACAGAAGTTGTGGGACAAGCTCAAGCAGGGCGGTGGTGGAGAGGCGGTTGGCGTTTCCGATGCGGAAGGGGCGAGCGAAGACGGCGGCGGCGGCGGCGGCGGCGGGCGTGCCGCGGCCGTCAATGGCGGGGACGGGTGTGCCGAAGGAAGGAGCCAAAGCGCGAGTAGCGGCGGATTCAGTTTTGGCTTCTCGTTTTCGTAGCCAAAGGCCCGAGAGAGAGGCACGCGCGTTGAGAGTTGTCCTCCTACCACGCGAGCGGGCTTTTGCACGGCGAGGAATTGGGTGCTTTGTTTGGTCGTTCGTCGTGGACGAGAAAAACTGCTTTGTCGACTTCGCTACTTCAAAGTATTTGTTTTCGGTGTATCTGCTTGCGCGCCTTTTTTTTGGTTCAACCTACCAACGCCGTAGACAATGGTGTTGCGCCTCGCGCGGTCGTTGGAACGCTCTCGACGTGCATGCATTTGGCTTTCGCGCATGCGACGACTGCAGACTGCGAGGTCCATGCTCAGCCAAAGGGGATGTTGCTCTTGCCGCCTGCGCTTTGTGGTGCGGGTTTCGGGTTATCCCGAAGTCCATTTTACCGATGTAGCCAAAAGCAAGCATGCCCTTTGCCGCTAAGCGTAACCTGTAGGCGCCGTCAGGGGACCCGTCATTGACGATACATCTCCTCTTTATCTGCTACCATCTCTGTTTGGGAGTCTGCAAGCGCAAGTCGACACGCTGAGGTATTTAGGCCACTACTAACATCCCCAACGGGGACAATGTTGCAACATGACGAACCCAGACACGGGCTCACTACAAGTACGCTGATCGACTAAGCATGACTCGGAGGTACATGGAGAACCATCATCGACGTACGTTGTGGACCCCCAGCCTAGCCCGCCCTCCCCCTTTTCGTGGGCCGTTCTTGCTTGCTGGACAACAAGGCTTCTAGGGGTGATGCCAATGTGCAAGGGCGGAACCCATCTTCCACTGACGTCGGGGAGATGAAACCTTCTCAAAGGTCGCCCACACACGAAGGCCCTTTTCAAGGGGACTCAAAATCCGGTCCTGATATGTTTTTTTGGTTTTCGTGGGACGGCCCTTGCGAAGCCGCTGGCAAGAAGAGAACAGGGCTTCAGGTGAGGGCGGGGCAAACCCCCGGGCTATTATTTATCTAATCCACAGTCCACAAAACGATTCCCCGCACCCAGTCGCTTGGGCAGCAATCCAACGCCTGGTTCACTAATCGCGACACGTTTGTTGTTAATTTACCCTAGACTTTTTTCCCTCTCGTGGTCCTCCTGGTATAGTACTTACGTTTGGCTCACTGAGAACCCCCGACGTGAGCGGGCCATGACGCCAACAAAGTCAAAGCGAGCAAGAGTGGCGCCCGTCCCTCATGAGGATGCCACAGTCCACCACCACCACCGTGCCTTGGCACACCACACAAAAGCTAACCAGACTACGGACACGCGAACGCGACGGCCGCGGCGCCCCGCAGTTATACCAACCACTTCGTCGGTGGCGCTGCTTTCACCCGCAACCACGTCATGGACACCGCGAGCCACTACTGTTGATTCAGAAACGCCCGGTTGTGCGCCACGCCAGCGCTACATCATCACTAGAGACTGGGCAACGAAGGTCTGATCAACTTCTGTTGGTATCCGCTTCCTCATTTTGTTTTTAGGGCGCCCCTCTCGTTCTTGTCTTCTCCTCTTCCGTAGCAACGGGTGGTCATCCGTGATACACACGTCGGAAAATTGTTCGCTGTTTCCGCAGCCCGAGGCTCGGAGACGTCCCTCCGAAACACATACTTTCATTTTCACTCAACACCTGGGGCGCGGCGTTCTATTTGGACACCAAAAAATTACAGTACGTTCGCCACCGTCAGGGAGGAGCCGCTTTTATGTAGCACCGCGCCGCGTTCTATTAAGGCCGCTGCCATACTATACACGCACGGGCGTAGTGCTAACACATGCAAGGAAAAAGACCAAATGCCCACACACTGAAAGACTCAAAGCTCTCTTCCTTTGCAACTTGATCCCTAATGCCATCATACATCATCCATCCGTGGCTCTGTCTACATCGTCATGTCATACATGAGGGAGGCAGCCGACTCCTCCTCGTGCTCTTGCGTCAGGACCACGTCCATGGCGGTCAGGTCCACCACGTCGCTGTCGTCGCCGTCCTCTTGCACCTCCGCGCTACGCCTCCTACCACCACCACCGCTACCGCTACCGCCACCACTACTACCGCTACCACCACCACCACTACCACACCCAACAAAACCTCGGTCGCGATCCCCGTAGACACCGCCAACAAGCTGTCCAACGGGGGCCTCACCGCTAGTGCCCTCCGATAAGGAGAAGGCAGCTTTGCCCGAACAGTCACGGGCGGCCTTGTCGCTCGCCGGCTGGCCACTCACGGACGAGGACAGACCACCGGTGGGGGTGGCGTGACCTACAGTCAAAGGAGGAGGGGGGGATCACAACAGCGTAGGGCTCGTTGCGCTGCCGGTGATTTCGTACGCCCTCGTCGACGACGGACAAGGGCCGTCTGACGCCGCCGCCGCCGCCTCTTCCGGCCGCAGTTGTGCTACAGCTACTGCTGAGGGTGCCACCGCTACCGCTGCCGCCGCTGTTTCCTGCCCCGCCGTTCTCCGAATCGCCTCCCCAGATCGCCAGGGGCGCAGCTTCTACCTCCATCCCCACGGGGGCTCTCTGGTTCCCCCGACATCAGGCGGCCGCCGCCGTCGCCGCCGCTACCTCCAGGTGCACCTTGAGCCGCAACGGCCGCCGCCGTCTCCATAGCCCGTCGTCGCCGGACACTCGCCTGTTGTCTCAACACTACCGCCCGCTCCTTCTCTTCCCGCACGAAGCCCGGGGCGCTCGCGAAGAACTTTAATGGGATGGTTCCACCCAAGCAGCCCACCCCCCCCCCATACCGGCAGCAAGGAACGACGGACGAGGGCAACGGGGGGAGCAGAATGCGAAGCGATTGACAATGCGAAATAATGGGAATCGATGAGAACGGTGTCGAGCGCAACGGGGAGGGCACCATCCGACCGCTACGGTAGGCTGTTTAAAGGGTGATCGATATCTTCCTGGTGGACATGGAGATAGATGCAAAGGTGCTACGTGGAATGAAATGATCAAAAAGAAGAGCAGCAGCTGTGTCCAGAGAGAGAACAACGCATCATGAGGGAATATGAGTTTTGCGTCGAGGAGGGATATCTTCGTCTCCGAACCTTAAAAAAACACTGTTGGGTGTTGCATGTGGCGACCCGATGCCTGTCATCATCACTGCATCAGGCGCCAAACGTCTGCGGAACACGTCCCTACTGTAACACGAAAATACGAAACACACAAGGGACAGCGGTGGCAACGTTCGACTTTCGAACCACTTAGAGACGTAAAAAATAAACGGCACAGAAACAAGCGACTATATTTCGGGGGACTCCTACCAAGGCGGAGCACTGAGAACCGTCGAAAGCACTCCAAAGGCACAGCCGAGAAAGCAACAGTCTTCGCAGGGTCCGACTTGCGCCACACGCACATAAATGAAGTTTCGACACTCAAGAGCGTCATGAGGTAGCTTCACCTGGTCGATCGTGTCCACCACGTGCTCAAAGCTCGGGTAGTCGCCGCGGAGGTCGCGCATCCACTTCGCGAGGAACTTCACGTGCTTCCATTCACCCGCACGAATGCGCTCGTCGATGAGGCATATCACCCCGTAGTCGTAGACGTGACGGATGCACCTCCCGAGTGCCTGGGAAAAAATCGCGGGAGGAACGAAGCTGTCACGGCATGCCACCCACGAATGCCACCACCATTGCAACAGGCGGTATCTGTTCACGAGAGTTCCCGTCCAGGTCGATCAGATGGAAAATATATATATATTTCTGTCCCTTACCCCCCATTCCCATACGCACGCATAACCTTCGCAGACGAGCCTCGGGCGGCAACACGGAACCCACCTGGTTCTGGGCTCGATACGCCTCCTGGGCGTACCAGTTCGACCCGCTCAGTAGCGCCTTCCCGGCCTCGTGTGCCGCCTTCGCCGCCGCCTTCGCCGCCGCCCTCGACGCTGCCGTTTCCGCCGCCGCCGCTTCCGCCTCCGCCGCTTCCGCCACCGCCGCCTCCGCCGCCGTCTCCCCTGTCTCCGCTTTTGCCGCCGCCATCTCCGTCATCACCGCAGGTTCCTCCCCGAGCGCTGCTAAGGATACCGCCGCCTCCACGTCCGCCGATACCTTCGGGGGCCCCGAAGCTACAATCCGCGCCGGTCTACCCCCCCCTCCCCCGCCGCCGCGCTCCCTGACAACAGCCCCCTCGCTGCCGCCAACATCGCCGGCGCCGCTCCTTTTGCCAACGGCTCCTGCTCCTGCTCCGCCACTGCCGGCGGCGGAGCGGACGGCGGTGCCACCGCCTACTACGCCGCCGCCGCCGCTGCTGCTGCTGCTACTGCTGCTGCTGCTGCTGCGGCCTTGATTCGCGGCGGCGCTCGCGTAGTTGTGGTCGCCGGCCGCGCAGACGTCCGGCCACGACCTTCGACCGGCTCCCCCGCGGTCCTTGGCCTCCGGCTTCCTCCCGAGACTCTTCCAATCGTTGTAGCATTTCTTCGCCACGATCTTGGGGTCCCCCAGGTTGGGGTAGGGGATGCCTACGCACAGTACCCCCCGCGCGTAGTGGTCGTTGAAGCTGATGCCCTGAGTGGTTGGGAGTGGGGGGTACAGCTTTAGTTGCCGCGCGGATTGAGATCAACACTTTGCGGTGCACGTGGTGAAAAAATCAGTGGGTTAGGGCCTGCGAAGACGGCTGTGTGGTGTGTGGTCACGAACAGTTCCTTGGTGGTTTCTGCCTACATGCTACCTTGCTTCGTGTTCAGCGCAAGTCAGATTTGCTGAAAAGAGGTTTTCGAAAGAACAACAAAACTTATGGAAGGCTTTTGAACACATGTCAGCAGTCTATACGATCAAGTGTTGACGTGCTAAACGACGGCAGTCAGTAGCACAGCAGTGAGCAAGCAAGGCAACAAAGGCGTGTGCCACGGCTTAGTGGCAGGAGTGGGGAGGTATACTGCTGTAGACATGAGTGTGCAAAAACATTGAAACGGTTGGGCCGTATCACGGAGTATACTGAAACCCGTATACATAGGTTTGCGCCAAGAAGTCGCTCATGACATATGTGGCATCGTACAACTGTGTTGTATTCATGATAATACCTATGACAACAGTTTATCGCATGGTACAGTGGGGGGCCCGCTATAGTGCCGCGTAGTGTCCAGAGGGAAAAGCGGCGCTATACCGGGCACCGGCAGTATTCAGAATAGTGCCTCAATAGTGCTGGTTCGGCAGTATTGAGGCTTCGAATATACCTCAGTAGTGCCGGACCGGCACTACTGAGGAGGCGGTGATTTCATGGTGCAGCGCTCAAGCTCTGCGGGGTCAACAGGATACGATGTGGATCGTGGATCGAAAATGAGTGTAGGAATACTGGACGTCTGAGTCCTCGTGGCCCTCCTTCGATGTTGCCCGATAAAAAAAGACAACAGAGAGAAATAACGACGACGGGGAGCGCACCGCACGAAAAAATAACGACCATTACTACTACCACAGATGTTCTCCCCGCCCTCGCAACGTAGCAGCAACTCTCTCTCACGTGTGCCTGGCGCACCCCCTTGGATGTTACAAGAAGAAAAAAACAAAGAAAAGCACGACAGGAAGCGCACCGGAAGAAAAGGAAACAACCATTGCTACATACAACAGCTGCACCCCTCTCATGTCTGCCTGGCGCACCCGCTTAGCGGAATGCGCTGCAGTCATTGCCATCTTCGCTTTCGTTAGGAAGAACGCCGCGTCTCCGTTGCCACTCTCATCTGCTGCCGCTTCTAGGACGCTGAAGTGAGGCGACAGCTCAGCATAAGCAGGTGGAGCACGGCGCTCGGGCCCCGTGTTGTCATCGCCACTGCCCTCCTCTTCGTCCTCCTCCTCGCCGCCTGTTGTCACGTGCGTTCCAGCCAGCAGTGCCGCCATTTCGTCCACTGCGTCCAGTCGAAGAGCCTCTGCCACCTCATCGTCGTCCTCGATGGTAGCCCACCCCCGAATGACGCTCACCGCTTCTCCCTCGACCGGCTTTGCGGGTTCGATGTCGAGTTCTGCGAAGAACTCGCTGATCTCCTCGTCTACGACTTCATGGCGAGGCTGGTAGCGTCGACAGGGCGGCTATCAAGGAGGGCATGGACGAAATCAGGGTCCTTTGGGCGAAGTACCCGGCTAGGTTCATCTTCAACGTCGACGAGACAGGCCTCCAGTAGAAGCTCCTGCCCAGGCGCACGTACCTTTCCACCTCGGAGGATCGGAAGACGGCCGCCGTCTTCCGAAGCTTAGAAGGACATCGCGTGTGACGGGCATCTTGGCCTTCCAGGCTTTGGCGAGCAGATTAAGAGCTATCGCATCCACCTGCCGCCAAAAAACGAGTAAACAAGCAGAAGGTCTTACCATTAGTTTCGAACATTAGCATGCATCCTACACTGCGCGGCGCGGTCAGGCGGGACAACACAGCAGTCGTACCTTAAAGAGAGACAAAACAAAACACACACAAAAAAAAGGAATGGATCATGTGTATTATGTCTGCTGTACATACAATACGGAGTACATAAAAAAAATAAGAATAGGAAAGACGCAAAGAGGGGGACATCAACAGCGGACTAGCCACACAGAAAGGAAAGGAGGATGAAAGCGGACATACATATGTGAGAAAACCGAGACAGACAAACAAGGGACAGAAAAAACAAGAGAGACAACATGTATTGTACCAGTGAAAAAAAAAATGAAGAACGACGAAAAGAAAAAAACACGGACGAAAAAAAAGGCCAGTGAACAGCGGCCCGCAACAATTGAAAAAAAAAGGCGGGGGAAAGAAAGCTCACCTCCGGAAAGTCTCCCTTGCGCGCGGTTTTCTGGGTGCCGCCGCCTGCAACAGTCGCAGCCTCCACCTTCTTCCGGTCAGCCTTCACAGTCCTAATAAAAAACCGCTCCGAGCACCCGAAGCGGTCTGCAATCTGTACTTGAGAGACCTTCGCATCCAGCAGCTTGAGAATCTCAAGCTTCGTGTTGTTGTCCGGGCGCGCACGAACACCCCCCTTCTTGCTCCCACCGCTCTTGTCCTTTTGGCGTTTAGATGATCCCANCCTCCGGAAAGTCTCCCTTGCGCGCGGTTTTCTGGGTGCCGCCGCCTGCAACAGTCGCAGCCTCCACCTTCTTCCGGTCAGCCTTCACAGTCCTAATAAAAAACCGCTCCGAGCACCCGAAGCGGTCTGCAATCTGTACTTGAGAGACCTTCGCATCCAGCAGCTTGAGAATCTCAAGCTTCGTGTTGTTGTCCGGGCGCGCACGAACACCCCCCTTCTTGCTCCCACCGCTCTTGTCCTTTTGGCGTTTAGATGATCCCACCCCAGCACCGTCAGCTGCTGCCGCTTTGCGCTTGCCAATCCTGGTAACGCACGTGCTGCATATACGGTGCGTCTCGATGTCGCCAAACACGCTGCCGTAATTGCCGTGGAGCCGCCCTCCACATCCTCCCTGGCAGACGTGGCCATGAGGGTCTTGCGGCATTCTGTCCTGTTGAAGGCACAGTTCACCTTCCGCACAAGGCATGGTGCGCCTCTGCTTAGAGCTCATAAGGTCTGCAACAGCAGGTGTACACTCCGTCACTGTGGCGTCTGTCCTCTGGTGTCGTGGTGTGTGTGTGTGTGTGTGTGTCTACAGCAGTGAACCGGCACTATTGGGGGGCACAGCGGCGCCCAACCGGCACTATAACGGGCCATCCCTCAATAGTGCCGGGCCGGCACTACTGAGGGCGCCGTCTGTGTCCAGAAATTTTACCGGCACCATACCGGGCACCGGTACTATTCAACCGGCACTATAGCGGGCCGCCCACTGTACTGATGTTTTTAGCAGGAAGCCAGTGCGCCGAGCAGTGATGGTTCGAAAGTCGTGACTACGTAGCGGGTCACGGTGAGCAGCGCTGGAATCCCTTCTCAGCCAATTCCTTTCGATTTGGACCTACAGAGTTGGGTCCACCTGGCATTGGAAGCGTGCAAAACAAACACAAGCTGGGCCGGACAACAGACTAGCTTCGAGACATCCAATCACCCTCTCTTGAAGGAACCCACGCACATCTGCTCAATCATCCATATCACAGCGGACGTGAAAGAGTTTCTCAAAACCCCAGTATTGGAACGCTGTCTCAAAACGAAGAGAATCCTCCGCATTCTTCAAAAACAAGAAAAAGTCATCACGGCAATTATTACAACAACAACGGCAGCAACCAGGGGGAACCAAATCTCTTGCGCTCACCTCACTCATTTTCCCGCGGTACACGGCGAGGAGGACGGCGCTTCCGCCGGCGCCCCCGCTCCCCCTCCCCCTCCCTCCGGGGCCCCCGTCGACTGCTTCCTCGTAGCGCCGCTTGGCGGCCTTGAAGTCGGCGGCCGCCTCGGGCTCCTCGACGATGACCCCCTTGCTCCTCTCCAAATCCGCCCAGACCTGTGCGGTGCCAAATGCCCAGACGACGGCGTTGGGGAGGGTGTGGTGCGTGCCGAGTACTTCAGACAGACTGGACATGTGTGGACGTTATTCTTCAAGAAACACGGGGGACGGCCTCCAGCACAAACAAGCGTGTACGGGAGGGAAAAATAGGACCTTCTTTGTCAAACGTTCGGAGGAAGAAACTGGCATTTACTGCGAATCGGACAGGCTGAGAATGTGTGAAGGTTGTTTTTCAAGAAACAAGGGCGGCGTCTTACAGCACAAACAAGAAACAACGTGTAATATTTGAGGAAAAGTTTACTTTCCTGGGAATGCATCTCGATCCTGACGCCCGCGTTGTGCATATGTAGGCAGGCAGTCCCAATCCGTCATCGTCGCCGACGAGAAGTGCCTACAACCTTCACGACCGCTTGGTGCGAGAGATGAGAGGACCGTCGTATGCACACCAATTCTTTCGCAGGGCACTATCAAACGGACAAAGTCGCCTTGCAGAGTCCCTTGCATACGCATACCTCTTCTTCGATGCCACCCCGGGGTCGTACGGGTTACCGCCTCACGAAACCCTCAAAGCTACCTGAGACCCCAACCGCCGGGTGTAAGTCGGGTAGGTTCTCCAGCCGCGGGGGGGGCGTGGGGGGGGGCAGGAGGCCTCATCCAATCTAATACTTGCATCAAGCGATCGCCAACCGTGTCAAGGATACAACAGTCATGTTTGGGAGCCACAACCAGATGGAACCAGTTCCGGTCGTCCGGTCCGGCACGGAACGCTTCCAGCTTCCATAGTGCCCCGCCCACCGCGTTGGCACTCTTCTATTTGGAGCAACAAGGAACTCTCAAAAGAACGGACAAGAGCAGCATGAGCCACAAAAGTAGATCAGACCAAGGCTATCTGTAGCAAGCGCTCGTCGCCGACTAACGCGGCGTGTTCGCCCGCCGTTGCCCCGCGGCAGCGGCCAGAGGCGCGGACAATCGGTACCAACACGGGCCCTGGCACCCTCTCTGCTTCTCCGCTGCCAAGCGTCGATCCTGCCGCCCGCTTCCGACTACAGTACTTCCTTCCTTCCGACGCGTCCTTCATTCTGGCGCCTGAAAAAGTCCAAGGCTGCTGGCGTGCTACCATCGTATGTATGTATTAAGAGCACTTATCAAAGGCCGCAAGGTCTGTCGAGGCTAACACTGTGCCTGTCTGGCTTCCGGAGCACGGGGGCGTAAGCCTACAGTCAGGCAGTCTATCGGAGGTGACTGTAAAGCTTGCGCCTTTGTAGAGACAAACGGTGCCGCCCGTCGTTGACCCCGAACAGCTACTACGCGGTGGCGCAAAAGAGCAGCGAAACCATCGAACGAATGGCAGCGAAGGAGACCCACCCCGTAAAATTCCGCTCGCACCCGTCGGGAAGGGGGTCGTGTGGGTGACCTAGCGAGGTCGACGCTAGCTCAGCCACGACCGTCTTCCCCAGGGAAGAGCGGATTTTCCCGCGGTGCGTCTCCTTCCGTGCCGCGTCGGATCGTTTCGCTGCTCCTTCGCGCAGCGTAGGTGTTGGAGGTCAGGGACCGGTGACACCTTCGTCTCTCCTAAGGTGCGAGCTTGACCGTCGCCTCCAACAGACCATGCCGTAGGTTGCAAAAGATACCCCGGCCCCCCTGGACCGATTTTCGGAAGCTCCACTACTCTGCAGCAACAACACAGCGGTGGCGGCGGTGCCGAAATGGCTGCGTCAGCAACCTCCTCGTCGAGGGCTTTCCGAAGACGCATGGTGCCATCTTGGCGCCTGCTATAGTTGTGGAGCAATCGAGCTTCGACAATCGGTCCGTCCAGGGGGGGGGGTGTACTCATAGTCGTGCATGCCGTAGTCGTTAGACCATTGACCTCGCATCCCTACAAAGCCGGGACGGAGCACGCCGGGTTCTCACCGGACCAGGCTCTCACATC